TCAAAGTTGGTTTCATTACTTTTCTTGTTGTTTATTTCTACAATAAGAAAGAGTTTCCACTGGAAAAGCTGAAATTGATTTTGAAATGAACTTTAGAAATGTCTTCAAAGTCTAAGTAAAGGCCTTCTTCTATTTGCATTTACATGGCCTTGTTTACCTTACAAAGCCTACAATTTTTATTTGAAACTTTTATCCGAAATGCTTTTCCTAAAAATTATTTGCAAGCAAGTAGAAGAGTGGAAATTGTTTCTTATTGTAAACATAAACAATAAGAAAAGTAATGAAACCAACTTTGACCCCAAAGCCACCTCTATTATTCAACCCCCAGTCCAAAAAAATACTAATAATTATTTCACTCCCAAGCGTTACTTAAAGTTCTCATTTAAAAATCAAAAGTTGACCTCCAAATGACCTTCAGGAGTGTTTTCAAGGTCACAGTAAAGGTCATTATTTCGTGTACCATTTCACATTCTACAACTTTTGCCTGAAACATTTTTCTCAAAATTGCTTTGCCTAAAAGCTATTCGCATGCAAAGATCCGTTTTGAGAAACACGGTATAAAATGATAACTTTGAGATTTCATAATTTGCCAACAAAGAGTATGCTCCATTTGAAAGTTTCAGAAAATTAGTGTCTCATGGTTTACTATCATTTATCACCAATATGAAGTCTGGAATCGAGGGCGAGAATACAGGGCATTTTGGCCTGTTTTTAGGGTCACTCTTTCAAGTACAGCTTTCAGAGAAACTTTTAATTCATAGCATGTTGAATTCGTTATGAATTCGTAATTTTTTTCGTTTGCTTTCTTTTCCCATTCATTCAAATACTGCAAGAAATCTTCTATATCTTACAGCAGTGGAAAAAAACGTAAAAATTAATTGTACAACTTGTGTAGTATATTTCATTGCATACCTTCCACATTTGATTGCCTGACTTTAACGCATTGATGGACGTTCGACTGTTCATCGCTGTAATCAGAGCTTTCATTCTGGCACAAAACTTTATTGACCCACTGCAATCTATGAGATCTGAGTGATCATTTAAATAATTTCAAACCATCGGCGATCCCGAAAAACTGTAAAAACGTATATTATTATATTGTGTAATACATTTATACACTTAACTTCAAATAGGACGTGACTTTACTTACTTGAAAGGCCATTGCAACATTCATTTTTTGATAATATCTCGGTTTTACGTATTGTTCTGTTAATTTATAGTTAACTTTTAAATTGAAAATCTTTGGATTTTCGATTTCAAGTAGAGCGTATCAATATTTCAACGACAACGTACCATCAGGCGTCTGCAAAAAACAAAAATTATAACAATAACAATGAAAGTTTGTATTTATTTATCTACATGTTCGTACTATTAACGGACGGCTAGTATTACTAAC